CAAAAAGAAAGAGAAACATCGGAAAATAGGCATATTTTATTCAAGACGTTATTATATGACATCAGCATGCATTTATCATTCTTACAATCACCACCAGAATGTCCAACTTCACCATGATGAACTTAAAATTGGGTTCTATTATTTTTCCTCAACAGTTCTCCTCACAAAACGAAATTCATTTCTAACACAAATTTGATAAGAACAGAGGGGGAATTATTAGCAACACCAACATAACAGCAAAGCTAATGTTTTCTGTTAGTTTAAGCACAAGCTAAGAAAAGTAAAACCAAACTTTGTGGCAATAATTAAGACCAAACTGAACATGGTGTGTGTTTATGGTGCATGACGGCAATGTTGTCTCGGCGGGGGCGGGGTGTGGTGGAGGTGGGGCTTAGGTAGACGATATTATCGGATATCGTTATATTTTCAAAGGCGATTATCCATAAGATATTTTTTACATATCGCCCAGCCCTAGGAGGCATTGCAACTCTCAACATGACAGCTGTTAAATAAGCCAATTGCCTGTTTGTTTAGTATAGAACATACTTGTTATTGGCTGAAAAATACCCTTTTGAGTGAGTTGGCCTTAATAAGCACAATTTATGATTATATTTCTGATTTGAATTATGTTAATGAAATATAGATTTCGGTCTTTCCTAATACAAGATAATAAAGCTGGAAATAGCCAATATGGCCGCCAAGTGAACTGACTTGTCTTCAAGGGACTATGTTGCGTCTCTGTAAATATGCTGACATTGTACTAGCTACTTATTTTTTGCCCTGATTTACAGTCTGGAGAAGTTGACGCTAGTTACCGAAAGTCAGAGCCAGTCTGCAGATTTGAGTTGACAGATTCCATAGAATATCGCGTAGTGTATGATGGTTACAGACTACAATTTTTTTTTAACTTCAGTCTTTTATTCCATCCAGAGGAGATCAAACATATTTGATATTTTGAGCCGATTTTAGAACACATATTGTTTTCATTTAATAGCTTCTCCAAGCAACAGTGCACATGTTGCATGAATTTGTTGTGATCGGAACGACTTCAAAGTCTGGTAGTGTATGATCCTCAGTCGTTTAGTGTATGATGGACAGTTTTTCCTCTGTGACTATTACAAAGTCGGTAAGTATATGATGCCCAGTGTTTAAAAATCTGTTCCGATTTTAAAAGTCATGTAGTGTATTCCAGCCTTCCAATATAATTTATCCTTATTTAGGGTATAGGCCTATTCTATTTTGATCTGCAGTTTAATAAAAGTTAAACAGAAAAAAGACAAATAGTAGCACTGCATGTGTTTCTGTATGTTTATTTAAACAGACTGTATAATGATGAAAACCCACAAACATGAGTTAGCTATAATTAAAATACGCAAATTCCTTCAGCGCACATTTCAGTGCAATATTTTTACAGATTTTTTAAACTGTGTATACAATATAATTATGTTTAATTAAGCTGAGATATAGCACTATAAATTCTTAATTCATTTGCAACAAAACTATAAAGTTTTGTTGCAAACGTCTGAAGACATTATAGTAGGTCTATATCTCAGATCGCCCCTCAACATGCACACGTTCGGAGTTTCGGCAGCTCAACACTGAATATTATATTGTGGCCGTTGTATTTTGATTAATAAAATAAAAAGTACAATACAAAAATTAAATTGAAATTACCCCTGTAAATATGCTGACATTGTACTAGCTACTTATTTTTTGCCCTGATTTACAGTCTGGAGAAGTTGACGCTAGTTACCGAAAGTCAGAGCCAGTCTGCAGATTTGAGTTGACAGATTCCATAGAATATCGCGTAGTGTATGATGGTTACAGACTACAATTTTTTTTTAACTTCAGTCTTTTATTCCATCCAGAGGAGATCAAACATATTTGATATTTTGAGCCGATTTTAGAACACATATTGTTTTCATTTAATAGCTTCTCCAAGCAACAGTGCACATGTTGCATGAATTTGTTGTGATCGGAACGACTTCAAAGTCTGGTAGTGTATGATCCTCAGTCGTTTAGTGTATGATGGACAGTTTTTCCTCTGTGACTATTACAAAGTCGGTAAGTATATGATGCCCAGTGTTTAAAAATCTGTTCCGATTTTAAAAGTCATGTAGTGTATTCCAGCCTTTAGATACATGCTTTTTCGGGGACAGTTTTTCATTGAAGCAGTTTGTAGTTCTTCCAGTTCAGGAACCTTAATTGAAAGCAATAGTTCACTCAAAAATTATAACACTGTTAAAAAAAACTCTCTGTTTGAAAAAGACACAGGTTTGGAACAACATGAGGGTAATGATGACAGAATTTTTATTTTTGGGCTGAACTATTCCGTCAGCAAATAAAGAAGCATAGTTTTATTTTCCAGTAAGCCTCCAATTTTTGTGTCCTCTCAAGATAGGATTGAATCTTTGCATGCAGCCTAAATCTTTTTTCCACAAAGCTTCCACTTTATGTGTTCCTGCTGATATCTCTTCTTCAATATTGTTCTGATGTAGATTTGTCACTCACAGAGCGCTGCTGTGTGTAAATGTGTGTCTGCTCCTTACCATCCTCTCTTGTCTATTCCAGCTCCACCCTCCACTCTGCCAGTTGGATGGTGTTCAAGACGGCAGACGTTGGGAAGGTATAGATTAAACCATTGTCCTAAGGGGGGTGCACACATTCTGACACAACTGTGATGGTTAGCTTTATGGTGTTTCATTGGCTAGCTAATTAACTGAAATGTTTTCCTGAACTACAGAGTGTAATTATTACTCAAAACAGCATCGTAGCAACACAGTTCTGAGGAGCTTACTTTACAACAGACTCTCAGAGGCTGGGAGAGACGGAAACAGTTAATGCATGCATTAGCATCATTTCCCCCCAAAGAAGAATGACAGAGGGAGAGAACGGGATTGTGTATGTGCAAAAGAGCGCTGTTCAGTTTGATCCATGGTGTTCAGGCAGGATTTGATGAGAGTAGTTCTGATTGAATCAGTACACAGAGATATATCCTACTCACACTGAGCAGATTTACGCACACTCGCACTAGCACACTAACAGATCTGTCATGGCATAGTCATGCACACTGTGAGACCTAAAAAGCTTTTTTAATCGTAGTCATTCAATAACATCTCAATTAATGAAAGAATATCTCGCTCTCTTCCTCTTATTCGCCAGGCAGCTGTGTTGGGTTTTGGGAAGAAGAGATCGATGATGGAACTGCTAAATTTACAGGAAGCACTCAAAGTGGAAATCCAGATCCATCAGGTATCCCCACAGCCCTCCCCTCACACCATATGGATGGAGTGTGTAATTGTTGCGACTGCAGTACCCTCACCGTCCTCTAGAGGTCACTGCATCGGCATGTGTTTCCCACTCATGAGAATGCTAAAACTTTCTCTCTCTCTTCCTTGCAGAAACTCGTGAGCCAGATGAAGCAAGATCCACAGGTGCGTCTCCTCACTGAACATTTCCATTACTGTTTGATCGATACGCTCTCATATACCGGCCGCTGGACTAGTGTATCAGGGAGGAGTGTGTGTGTTCTTTGTACAGAATGCAGATCTGAAGCTGCAGCTCCGTGACCTGCAGGCCAAGATCACAGCGCTGAGTGAGCGGCAGGTGAGAGCTGCTCTCTGAGAGAACACCTGCTGCCGTATCAGTGTTCTCTATGAGCTACACGTGTGTCTTGATCAGTTCAATTACTTGGGGTCTGAAAGTCCTCGTGTGTCCCGAGAAAACAAGGCAAACTTGTTAGGTTATGAAACCTGTGTTGCATCATGGCATTGTTTTGTGTCGTATTGTGCTGAACATTTGTGGTGTGATTTGTGCACTGTGGTTTTGTGTTGCCAAATGCACAATTTGCCAACACACACACATATGCACAAATCTATTCTCCCCCCTTTTATTTGACATTTCAATAACTGATTATTAATGTCTGGGGATGATTACGTGGCGTACTGTCCTTCGCTTGAGCTTACTGTACAGAACCCAAAGTTCTGTGGAGGAGATGGAGAAAAGATGCGTTGTAGATTGCACGCAGCGGTGAGGAATTTTAATGTCTCAAAGCTTTTTAAAGTAACAGAACAGAGCGGCTGCCATCAACAGGAGAAAAACACACACCTGAAATCATTCTGCAGAGAAAAAGGAAGAAGAGAAACACAAGGTCAGCCCTATAATCACTGTGACTGTCATAAAGCTTCGGCATTCAGAAATTTACCAGCCTGCAGCGCTGTTTAATAAAGTGTGCTGTCTTCCTCGCTCGCACACATTCGGTGTCCGGTGGAATTCTCCCAGATCTAGGAGTGTGTGAGTCTAACAGATGGTGGAGGGAGCCTGTTAAAGCTGTAATCAGTGAGAGGACTGTGCTGGGGGGGTTGTGTTCATATTCATTAATGTATCTGTCACTCTGTCTTCACTGGTTACAGAATCAACACATACTCAGCTGAACACAAACAAGCTGTATTGCACATTTGTAGCCTGCATTGAGTAAAGCCAGGCACTCTTACAGCCATCTGAAAGTTTTCATATCTCCCTCCTTCTGTCCTCACTTTATGATTGTTATGGATCCATACTCTTAATGTTCCTTTGTGTACACATGCTCATGTGTATGTGTATATGTGCACGTTTTTTGATGCCAAACTGTAACACAGACAGTAAATGGCTTCAAATAAATTGCATTTGGAGTACGTGAGGAATGATTGTGTTCACCATTTAGAATCACATTATTAAGTGTGTAAGTATGCAGATTGTTTATTTTTCATTCTTCTACATATGACTTCCATTTCTGTCTCGTTCATTGTAAGATGATTGGTAATCTGTAAAGAACCTACCACAGACGTCCCTAAAGCATGTCTATTTTGAAAATGTTTTTCATAAAGAGTGTTTTAAGCTTATTATGCAAATGTAGGGCTCAGTGTGTCCTTGTAAATGCTAATGGTCTAGGTCTTATTATGTGGGAATCTTTCTAAAATAGAAAAAGATTTGATAGCATTATAAATATGAACAGATGAACATTTTTTAACCTTTAAAGGTGAATTTATGTTTTACTAGCAGAACCAAATAGAAATGTATAATTAATGGTGTTTTCTAACAAGTTAACCAAACACCCATCCATTTGTCATTGTTTAGACTCTTAAAGGGGAAAGTCCACTTAAAAAATAAAAATTCTAAGCATTTATAAAAATACTTTCTTGTGCGGAACACAACGGAACAAAACAGATATTTTGAAGAATGTTTCAACTGTTTTTGTTCATACAATTAAAGTATAAAATAAGGTCCAAACCAACTGAACTCATCGACTTAAATTATACAGGAAAAAAAAACAAAACACTGAAGCAATCTTTAAAATATCTTCTTTTGTGTTCCACAGAAGAAACTCATACAGGTTTAAAATGACAGGAGGGTGAGTGAATGATGACAGAATTTTCACTTCAAAGTGAATTATCCATTTCACATATATAAGGGTACCTTAATAATGGTCTAGAGAGGCAGAGTTTTAGACACAGTTTTCACATTGATTCAATATATCTTTCCCTAATTACTGAGGTTACGCTTGATTTGAAGAAGCATTCCTTTCAGCTGTGTACCGGACATAGTTCATAGTCACAACTGATGCTAATGGTAATATATTACTGCTAAATTCCTGTTATGCCGTAATCCATTTGTTTTTTTTTATCACTTTTAAGATGTTTTTGAAAGCAGAATACTGTTGGCCCCCTGCCTGAGAGAGAAAGAGACAAAGAGAGTGATGTTCAGCTGTAGGGACTCCATGTTCCCTCTTGCTGTCAGTGCAAATGGGCCCAAATCCAACATCACAAACTCTCTTATCAACAGCAGGCAGAAAGAGAGGGTGTGAGTGAGAGAGACTTCATTGCAGGTACGAGTGACAGAATACACAAAAAATGAACAGGCGGTTGTTCTCTCTTTCTCCCTCAGAAAAAGGTGGTAGAGCAGTTAAGGAGAGATCTACTGGTGAAACAGGAAGATATGAAGCTGCAGACACTACAAGCCGATGGGCAAATGTCTACCTTGCTCATCACACAGACACAGACGCCTCTGCCTGCTGCCAGCCTCACTACTCCACAGGTACCCACACAAAACACAAGAAGCAATACTTCACTCTGTCAGGTACAGTAGGACTCCATACAGGACCCCTCTAAAGACAATGCCTTGTCTTTGCTGAACATTTAAAGGATTAATTCACACAAAACTAAAAATTCTGGCATTAGTTACTTGCTTTCATGTTGTTCCAAAACCATATCTGTGAACAAAAAAAGGAATTAAGACCTTTGCTAGCAAGCTCCAAAAAGACACATCATAGAAGTATTATAAAAAGATCCATATAGAAATATTATTCTGAGAAATTTTGGAATATTGTGTTGGTTATGCTTTTCCATGCAGCTGGGCTAAGCAGGGGCACCTAAAAGTGGTCCGTGTGACTCCTGAAGCCATATTATAGCTTGGTGTGAAGAATGGGCTTAAAGTTTAATTTTGTTATCCACTTGATATCTACCCTAATTCTCTTTGGCATATTCATGAAAGTCAATGAGAGAAGAATTGGTTGTTTTGAGTCAGCAGTCTGAATTATTTATTCATGAATCAAACTGATTTTGTTTTTGAGACTTAATAGCGACGTTTACACACATCCAACTTAGTAATTGCATTAACGGCTCAATTGGACTAAAAAACCTTCATGTAAACACCTCAAATAATCAAACTACTTTGTGCACATGCACAGTTTATATCTTAGGAATGTGTGTATGCTTATTTACGTCTTATAAACAGGTCACTAGAGGAGACTGAATATTTACGTATTTAAGTATTTGCTAAAAATTCTAAAAGCTCTGACATATGTCAGCTTTCTTTTTATTTTTGAAGAGTGACCAAAATATTTTGCAGAGCATTATGTTCAGTAAGAAGACTTATGGAAGCCCATTCTGCCACAAGGTTATTGCGACTTTTTATCACGCAATTCTGACTTTTTTTCGTAGAATTGCAAGTTATAAAGTCAGAATTGCAAGATATAAACTCGCAATTCTGACTTTATTTCTCGCAATTGCACATTTTTATCTTGCAATTCTGACTTTATTTCTCGCAATCGCGAGTTTATATCTCGCAATTATGACTTTATTACAGGTAATTGCAAGTTTATATCTCTCAATTCTGAGAAAAAAAGACAGAATTGGGAGAGAAAAAGTCGCAATTACCTTTTTTATTTTTTATTCAGTGGCGGAAACGGGCTTCCATACCTGACCTATAAAAGGAAAAAGTGAACACGTTTACAACAGCGTATGTGTTTGTGACCCCGTAGAGCTCTGTGGCCCCTGTCATTGCTTCAAAGACTCTACCTCTGGTGCTGAGAGCTGCCACACCCACCTCACCTATCATCATGACACCAGCACCTACTATCACCGTGGTTACAACCCTTGGCAGCACACTCCTGGCAAGCCCTCCTAGCTCAGATCCTCAGAAGTCCCCAGTAAACGTCCAACCAGTCATCCAAACGACCAATCAGGGAGCAGAGCCGGTGCGAGTCATACCCAATAGCACCGTCGTTGTAAGTATTTCTCGAGTAGTTTTGACTCTCGTTATAGAACAAGAAGAGTTTTGTTTTCTTATTCCCGCTTGTTTTGCAAACTGCATGTGAATTGGGAGGCTATTTATTTTAGATCCCAAGAGCTCATGGTTGGTTCTTTTAGATTTTAGACAATTGTTCCATTGCATCTGCCTCTATTTATGGCTTAAAGGGTTAGTTCACCCAAAAATGAAAATTAGCCCACAAATTACTCACCCTCAAGTCATCCTAGGTGTATATAACTTTCTTCTTTCAGACGAATCCAGTCGGACTTATATAAAAAATTGTCTTTGATCTTTCAAGCTGTTTAATGCCACTCAGCAGGTCTTGCATGCATCAGTCCAAAAGAAGTGAAATAAAAAGAGCCCATCCATAAAAAAAAGTGTCTCACACGGCTCCGGGGGGTGAACAAAGGCCTCCTGTAGCGAATCGATGCATTTTTGTAAGAAAAATATCCATATTCATACATTAAAGTGATTATTACGTTTTGAATATGGATATTTTTCTTACAAAAACGCATCGATTCGCTACAGGAGGCCTTTGTTCACACCCTGGAGCCATGTGAGACACTTTTTTTTATGCATGGGCGCTTTTTATTTAACTTATTTTGGACTGATACATGAATCACCCGCTGAGTGGCATTAAACAGCTTGAAAGATCAAAGACCATTTTTAATATAACTCCGACTGGATTCGTCTGAAAGAAGAAAGTCATATACACCTAGGATGACTTGAGGGTGAGTAATTTATGGGCTAATTTT